CATGGAACGAGAAACAAGTACTGGCACGTGTTTCTTGTATGGAAGTTCGCAATCGTACTTGTTCTGTTTATAGTTTGGATCACTGAATGAAACAGTTTTGCTTGTTTAAACAAACAGTATAACGTTTGTAGCTAGCTTTTTTTATTTGATATCCAACAAATATATTTTTGAAATTTTTACGCAAAAATATTTGATATATAAACAAACTTTACGTGAACATGTACAAGAAGCCGGAACTCTTACCCCATTACATTTGTATCTCACAGATGAGTAACATATTCAACATATGAGTTTAGTCTGAAAAAAATGCATTATTTTCCGTTTGAATTAGCCTAAAACATACATGTGGAATAATTATCATAAATTTGTATTCCATTTAGTGGGATAATTTTCATATTTCCTTTGGGTGTGGATTGGTTGTTGAATTGACATTGCCAAGTTGATTCATAGATTGGTCCAATTTCTATTGAGTTGAAATTAATGTGGATAAGTAGTGCCTGTAACAATCAATGATTGATCTTCTCCAAAGGCATTTACCAACTTGAGTACACAAGGTTAGACCTACGAACTACTAACCTAAATCTTTTTTTGACTTTACAACCGAACCAAACCAAACCGGGTAAATTATCGTCATACACTTGAATGACTAGTCCAAGTAATTTTATTTACTAATAGCTCGATTGCCTTATACAAAGCGGTCCAATGAGGAGATGAAGAGTAACAAATATAATAGTGAACAAAATTTAATTACTCAACGATACAAATATAATTATCAATTAGAATGATATATCCAGGCGGAAAAAAATATATAACCAATACTCGATTTAACTCAAAATGGATTTATCAATTAGATTCCCTAAAGATTTTACTGGTTCCTGTATATGTCTCCAAGGAGATTTCATGCTCTCTAACGAGTTAATATATAAAGTTCACATTAATTTTCTTTAAATAATAATATAATACAGAAGAGTAATGAATAACCACCTCATGCATGAAATACCTCAGTTAATATATAAACCCAAATGTCTCGTTGTAAAAGAAATTAATCTTGAGAGTAAACTGTAAAGAGACTTTAGCTTGAAAGCAAAAGTCTCCCTCTTACTCTCGACGGTTACTTCAGAATCTTAGAGCATGTCCATCATAGCCAAATCTTCTTTACTTACGTCTCATATTATATCAATGCAAATTACACTATGATTAAAGATTATGCAGAAATGGCAGTGCCACATGTGCTATTGAATCCGAGCAAATTGACGTTTTTTTTTAATAAATCATTAGGTGATTCTCCCGCATATACGCGGCTAACTTATTTAGATATATATTTTTTTTAATTTTACACATTAAAAATATGTATTTGTTTTGATTTTTATTATTAACATTATTGTTGATATTTTTGTTGCTAATTGTTTTGTCAACAATTATATTTTTGTTAATAATATAAATTTTTAAAAGTTTAGTTTTACCATTTTATTATTTTATATACGTATTCGTGTTAGATCAAAATGTATAATTCAATACATTAGAGTGCATAATTTAAATTATGATAAAAAGTT